TCCCACCGAAGGAGAGTGTTGTGGGATTGTAGTTCATGGCAGGCTTCGTCAGGGATGCAGCATTTGATCCGCACCTAACAGAAAAAGTTCAATCTCTCTAAGAGTAAGGAAATGGCAAAAACAAAGACAAATCACAGAAACTGTGGGGAGCGCCAGCCTCTGTCTTGGTAAGATAGTGATGCTCAAAATAGAGCAGATGTGGACCTGCCTTCAAAGAGTTGACAGGCCTGTACAAACAAATATGAGATAGACCTAATCTCATCATTGGGCTCTCCCACAGCCACAAGTGCTGCTCCCGCTCCCCCTGGCCTCGCCACCCTGCCTAGTTGCTTAGCATTTCGGGGAATGTTAGTTCTGGGCATTCATGTGCCTCAAGTAGACAGAAAAGAGGAGGAGACGTGTGGGCATGAGAAATAGCCATGGACAGATTAGAGGGCAAGACAGAAATAAAAATAGCTGCTGGGTTTTAAGGCTGCTAATCTTTTGTTGGCTTAAATCATCTTCTGCAGTTTTTTATTTAAAAAAATTTTCATCTAAAACAAGTCTCATAGTCATAAATGCACTGTTGTAAAATTTTTCCCAGCATTATTTCATTAAGTGAAAAAAGCAAGTTACAAAGTGCTATGGTTATGTGATACCATCTGGGTCCACTTGCTTAATTTAGAAAAATTTAAAAGACAAAAGAACAGAGGAGTTAGCCTATTACCCAAAATCACATCCAGTTGTAAACCAGTGTTACTTAAATTTAAAAAGAAAAGAATAAAGTTTCTATTTAAAAACAAAAACAGTCTCTCCCTGGTGGTGCAATGGGTTAAAGCACCGCATTATGAACTTCTACCAAGCAACTGCAGCACGAGTTCGATCCCCGGCCAGGGAGGTGACCCACATGGCGTGGCAGACCTCTCCTGACCCTCCCACTGTTCCCCTCAGCAGTGTACTTCATCAATCTGTCTGTTCTGCTCCCTGCTCTGTCTCTGGTGAATCCTCTCACCTACAATACCTCTGGTCTGTACCCTAGTTCTATAAGCATAAATAAATTAATCTTTAAAAAACAAAAACAAATGAAGAAAAATCAACAAAACAAATTATCATCCAAGTCTACCTGTGGTGTAAGATTGAAAGGGAGGGCAGAGGAAGTTCAACTTTTCACTTTAACTCTTCATAACTTTGTGACCTTAGCTGTAGTGCTCTGCTGGCTAGACTGGGCTATGGGACCCAGCCTAGGTAAATCAGAACACATTTCCTGTAGGCTTTTGTTTCTCTCCTGAAAGAGGTGGCCCTGGTTAAGCTCAGAGTATGGTGTATGATCTTAATCACAGAGTCTCTGTTGGGAGACTCAGACCTGGCAGGCAGCCCTCCCAGGAAATTCCTCCGTCCACTTAGGAAGGTGAGCTTGAGAACAGAAATACATTCCTCGGACCAAGGCTCCTGTCCCCACAAAGGGAGATTCTACAGGTCAAGTCCCTAGAAGGGTGCCTTGCACCCAACAGCTCTAAGTAGTGGTGCTACTTTATACCACTGTCTTCATCAGGGGAGAGGGGGAGGGAATGATGGGATATGTGAGGTAAGAGTAAAGTAGGTTCCTTGAGGGAGGTGGGAACTATGTATAAAAATTGAAGGTAGATATAGATCAGTTTTTGTCTCTTTATTTACATCACCATGGTTGGGTAAAAAGGTTCTTTAAATTCTATCTCCTGTATCGTTTCCTCTGTGACCTCAGACAAATCACTTCCTGCCTTTGAACCTCACTTTCCTTATCTATAAAATGGAGATTGGAATTAAATTTTTGTTGAGATCTAGTTCAATTGTCACATTTTATGTTAGTCTAATAATTCAAGTACAGAAAAGAAAGCACTAATCATTATATAATGCTAACTTTAAATGACCTGTGCATGCAGTATTTGTCTCTGGGCCTATTCATCAGGGCTCTCCCTGTGAGGAACTTCACACCCTACCTACCCAAAGCTCAGCCTCTTGACTCTGACCCTGCTGCCCTACACTCAAGGTCAAATAGAAAAGACCGTGTTAACATATACTGTCCCTCAATCCCCAGAAGCATTTAAATGAAAGGAAAACTTTTATCTTGTGTCTTATGGATCTATATGTTGTAGTGGCCAAAGCCCTAGACTGGAGTCAGATCTCCAGTCCCACCTTGGTCTACCACTGTTTCACTGTGTGACCTGAAACAAGACACTTCTGGCCTTAGCTATCTATAAAACAAGGGTTTGAATGGGTATCTCTTTATGAGCCTTGCACTCTTTTTTTTTTTTTTAAAGATTTATTTATTTATCGATGAAGTACACTGCTGAGGGGAGCAGCGGGCGGGTCAGGAGAGGTCTGCCAAAACATGTGGTCACCTCCAGGGAAGGTGGGGATCGAACTCATGCGGAAGTGGCTTTAGCTTCTCAGTGCTGTGCTTTAACCCGCTGCGCCACTAGGGAGGGCCGAGCCTTGCACTCTTATTCCCCTTCTCTGCCCAGTGCTGGCTACCAAGACTGGGAGAGGTGAGAATCTGCAGGGTAGCATTCTACCAAATGCCCTCAGCACCAGCATGCAACTGCAGGCACCCCCACAAGGCTGAAACGAAGCACAGCCAGGTGTCCACTGGGAGCCAGCATGAAGCAAGATGTACAGGGCCAGGCAGAGACCCAGCAAGCATGGGACTCTCCAGCCAGGACATGCTGCCTGATCCAAAGCTGGATTCTGCAACTTTTCTCACAGATGTTCTTTTACTTGTAGGATAATGACATACAAGACCTCCAAAGAAGTCAGAAATACATTCTTCAGGAATCAGATCAGGACAGAGAGTGGAGTTCAAGGTCACGGCTTGTTAATACAGTTTTAGTTGAGGTATAAAATACAGTATTTTCATGAAATTAACACATCCATATATAAGCACCCAGGTTAGGAGACAAAGCAATACGTACTACCCCCCCCAAAGCCCCTTCAGGCTCCCTTCCAGTAACTGTCCCCCAAGAATAAACCTCTGAGTTCTAGCACCCTTCAGTCATTTTGCCTTTTTTGGACTTATACAGGACTCTTTAGAGTCTGGCTTCCTTTATTCCACTTAGTTTGTGAGCTTCACCACCATTACACTGAAAGTAAAAAATGACTGTCATTCATTTTCATTTTTGCATCCTAAGGACTGTCAATGAGACAGTCCAAAGTCTAGGTTCAGATACTCAACTGACGGCAGGGTTTACATACAGCTCTCCCCAAGTGAGAATAATCCCTCTTGCTATTCTTTCATACAGTCCAAGGGGACTGCAGAGGTGGGTGACTGGGCTCCAAATTTATATCAAAGGCCAAAAACTCCTATCATTGAGCACCTGCCCTATGCCTGGCACTGTGAAGGATGCCTTAGACTCAGCAACTCATTTAGTCCCACAACTGTGAGGATTGTGCAGTCTTTATTCCTATCTTACAGGTAAGAAAACTGAGGCCAGAGACATTGAGTCATTTATCCTAAAAGTTATACAGTTAAGAAGAGGACCCATACCCCACTGTGTGAGCCCTAATGAAGGCCAAACCTCCCAACCACTCCATGTTGGCAGGGAGCTCAACAGCTAAATCCAGCCCCCACTTATGTTCCCAACTTCATCTAGCACCATTGAACCCCTGCTCACATTCCAAGGTCACACTGGCCTCCTGCCCAGCTCTTCAGGCCTGAGGTAGTGCTTCCTCACCGCAGGGGCTGTGTCCAGGCAGTTGTTTTAGCCTGCATGTCTACTCTTCAGTCACTACTCAGAGCAGCCTTCCCTGTCTAAAGTAAGCACCTTATTTTCTCTCAGAGGACTCAGTTCTCCTCTCCTTTAAAACATGCTATATTAATTTAGTTTTTTGTGCTGACTTGTTTTGTTTAGTTTCTCCACCAATGGACTATAAGTTCCAAGAGGACAGGGTATCTGTTTACCATTTCCTGATACAAATAATATGCTAAGTGAAGAAAAGGAGGGGAGGAGAGAAAGAGAAGACTTCAGAAGTCAAGTGCCCCAGGCAAGACCCTGTCCCTCTTAGCTTAATATCCTCAATTATCAAATAAAGGGTTTGGAAGAAGAACCTTCCAAAGGGCTTCCACTTCTGGGCCCTCCCTGGTGGCACAACGGGTTAGGTCATAACTGCAAACTAGCCGCAGCCATTTCAGTGCAAGTTCAATCCCCGGCCCCAAGGTGACCTGCCCGCGGCTCCCTTCAGCAGTGTACCTCATTGATCTGCCTGTTCTGCTCCCAGCTCTGTCTCTGGTGAATCCTCCCACCACCCCTGCACCTCTGACCTGTACCCCAAATTCTAGGGTACCAAGTCATCCCAAAGGCCTAAGGCCTCTACTGCCTCTTACCTACCCTATATCCAGGATTTGTTTTGGGGGTATTCACCCAAAGCCCCTCGGGCTATGAGGTATATGACATCTTCCCACACTGTTGCAGGTAGAGTATCAGAAAACATAAAGTCTCTTCCACTTCTAAAAGCTCTCAAGCTCAGAGTTTATCCCTGGCTATGTTCTGGGCTTAGCAAACCTGAAAATGCATCCGGACACTCAAAGACATCTTCATAACTAGGCTTATATGGCTTGTTACTCAATGCAAATCTACTTTCAGGAAGATTACCTCACCTCCCATTCAGGCTCTGAGCTTAGGAAATAAAATCCTGGGAACCACGGAGAATACTAAGTGGGACTGAGAAGAAAACCGACAGGTCAGATCTCTGTCCAGAGGGCTTTGTGTGACAGTACCAGACAAAGTTAAGAATCATTTAGATTCTGTAGATTACACGAAAAACACAGAATCAATAATTCTAGCACCTTCTGCTGAGCAAGTCTTTATTTCCAGAGAGATGACTATTTGCAGAGCTGCCCGTGGAAATGAATAAATCTCAGGGTTGTTTTTAAAGTTTCCCATGAGTCCTGTAATAAAACCAGGCTCCCCAAAACCAAACGGAAATGCACCAAGAGAAGTGAATCTGGGTTCTGTCTTACAGCCCTTCCACCTCTCACTGCCTCTTACCTCCCCAGCTCCTCGCCAATGTCGTAAAAGTCCTCCACCTTCTGCTGCTTGAACGCCTCCATGTTAGGGCTCTTCATCGAGGCCTAGACATTCAACCCTAAAATGGAACAAACTGAGGTTAGGGTAGCCATGGAAACAGACACAAGCCAAAGAGTCTGGGTCTCGAAGTAATCATCTACAAGGTAACCAGAATCTAAAGCCCTGGTTCCTCAAGAACGGCCCCCTCAAGCCTTCTCTCGCATGTTGTTGATGATGTATGGTATCAAATGTGACCTATATTAATTCAGTGGTGTTAAGGAAACAGAAAAAGAGTCCTCCCCACCTCTTCAGATCTACTCTGAACAAGTTCAGAGACAGATTCATGACCAATTTAGGCAATGTGTTCTCATGAAATTCAGAACTACTGGAATAGACAAACCTGTGATACAGTGCAAAGAACACTAGCTTTTGGGTCTCCCTGGTGATGCAAGGGTTAAAGTCTCAGCACTATGAAGCTATCAGCAGTCTATACCAGGCCAGGGAGCTTACCCACATGGCACAGCAGACCTCTCTTGTCTCACCCATTGCTCCCCTCAGCAATGTACTTCAGTCAATCCGCCTGTTCTGCTTCCACTCTGTCTCTGGTGAATTTTCTCAACCCCACACTTCTGGCCTCACACCAGTTCTTGTATGCATAATAAGTCGCTAAATAAAAAGGAGGTTCAGGGTCCCAATTTTGCTTAGTTAAATCATTTAAACTGCCAAAGACTAAGATTCCCCACCTGTAAAAGGGGTTAATACTGTAAAAACCACTGCAAATCATGAAGTTATTTTGTAAACTATCCAATGCAATAGAAAAGTAAGGGATTATCATGACCTCAGCTCCCTCAGGGGCTGTGACACCCAATTACAAGTCTGAACTGATTTGTAAACTCTCACTCAACACCCCAAGGGAAAGAAGCGCGGGAGGGGTGTGACAACTTACAACAGGCACCAGGAGTCAGGAGCCTGAGGTTCTAGTTCTAGTTTTGCCTGCAACTAGTTCTATGATCTCATCTCTTGTCAGAGGAACCTCAGTTTCTTCATCTGTACGATAGTTAACTGTCTGCCCAAGAACAAGTATAGCTCTGAGTCATGGGGGAGTGCTTACAGTCCACCAAAAGACGTTTTGCATCCTCCCCTGGGAGTCCCCTTCCTCCAAGGAGCTCACCCATCTCTGGGACAGCCACCTACCAGCCTGGACAACACCCCAAGAGCTGGACCCATTAACAGTCTGAGAATCACAAAGATAAAACCAGCTGCCTGTGGATGGATCTTTCAGGAGTCATAAGCAAATGTCCTCTCAGAGCTCATTTTGGCTAGCTTTGGCAGCTTTTCTTCTGCTTGCCAATCAGATACCAACCACGCCTGGGCCACACGAGCTCCAAAAGACTGTTTTCACCAGACTGGGTGGAGGCACCATTACATAAGGGCTCATCTCAGCTCATCCATGTGATGGGGCTGAAGCTAGTCTTTCTTTCTTTCTTTTATTTATTTATTTTATTTATTTCATTCAAGAGCTAGGGTACAGGCCAGAATTTATCAGTGACAGAGTGGGGAGCAGAACAGGCAGAGTGACCAAAATACACTGCTGAGGGGAGCAGCGGGCGAGACAGGAGAGGTCTGCTGCACCACGTGGGTCACTCCCTACCAGGGATCAAACTCACACTCTTTCTGCAGCGGCTGCAGATAGCTTTATAGTGCTGTGCTGTGTGAACTACCAGGGAGGAACCCTGCTGAAATTATTCTAACTCCCAGGCCATGTAACATCTCCCCTCTGTCCTCCACCTCTACCCCCTGCAAAGCAGAATTCTATCTGCCTCCCTCCCTCCTTCCCCCATACATCCCTGAAGACCTCCACACATTGCTGACCTAGCTTCCAGGCCTTAATCTGGCAACCTTGTTCCTGTCAGTGCCCAGAGTCCATCACACATCCTCTTCCATGCTTGGTCTTTGCTGTGTGCCCAGTTAGGACCCAGCAGGCCTGGAAAAAGCAGCTCCAGGAGCCCTTATTCTAGACTGGCTGGTGTGGATAATCTATGTAACCCATACAGGTTGGCAATCTCTCAGCCTCAATTTCTTCATCTATGGTAATAGTATTTATATCACTTACTTCACATATCTGTGAAGATCCACTATGATAAGAACATAAAAACAACTGGGAAAATAAGAAGGATGATTACTACTCTTATTATTTGACTCATCCCAAGGCACTGTTTGTGTTGTGTCCTCCCATAATCATTGTGGCAACCAATTCAGGTCCTTTCTGAGGAAAAGGTTTTAGGATCTCTGGCAAACTTGACTTGGGCAGAATCAGAAGTTTGACCCACCCTCACCCCTAACCCCACACTAGCAAATCTCCTGTGATCAGCCCAGAAGGAGACAGGACTCTTATCTACCATTTCTTTTTAACTGGGGGAAAAAATATATCCACACAAACCATTTGAGAAAGGTTAGGGAGGTGGGGTTACTAATTCCACTGAGCTAGACAGAAGCAGAAAACTCAAAAAAAGTCTGTTGTCACATAACCGGAGAGTGGTACAAGAACAGCTAAGACTCTCCATTGGCAAAAGGCCAGTTCCATTTGCTCTGTCAGGAGCTGGGCTGGATTCAAAGCAGCCCCAGTTCCCCAGAAAAATAAGAGCCCCTGCTTCGGATTCCATATTCTGGATGACCAGGAATGGGGGAGGGGGGGCAGAAAAGGACCTACAGACAAACTAGATCTACCAGTTTGACCCCACCTTACCTTTCCAACGTTAGCTCTCTCCCTCACATAGTCTATACTAAAGTCAAAATTAACCTTTCACATTTCCTCAAAACTTAGCTGAGTCCTTTCCTTTCCATTAGCAGCCCACCTTGCTAGCCCTCCTACCTCTTTCCTGCAGGGCCCTATGCAAACGCTATCATCTTTGCGAGGTTCCACAACCACTTTTCACACCAGCACAGGTTAAAATTCCCAGAGGGAATTTTGGAGGGTTAGAGCCTATTACATTCTGGTTCATCATCATCTTTGTCCATATCTAACCCAGAGGGAAAGAGCACAGATTTTACAGTCACAGGGACCTGGTTTCGAATCCCCGCTCTGCCACATACTAACACATTGAGACCCCTGAGGATACGCTGGCACAACTACTTTGGCAAATTATCAGGCAGTTTCTATGGACATACCTAGAGAAATGTGTGCTAACAACCTTCAAAGCAGTCCATGTTAGAATGGCCATAGTGGCACTACTAGTAATAAGTAAGCATTAGGAACTAAATGGCCATCAGTAGAAGAATGGATACATAAATTGAAGTACAACGGAATACAATGAGAATAAACAAGCTCCTACTGTGTGGAACAAAACCCACAACTTCAAACATGACTTGAATGAAGAGAGCCAGACACAAAGGACTATTTACTGTGTGATTCCATCTTCTGTAAAAACAAACAAACAAACAAACTATGATACAAGAAGTAAGAATAATGGTGACACGTGTGGTGGGGCAGAGATTGTCTCTGGAACAAGACAAGAGGGTATTCTGGGTGCTGGTGATGATGTTACTTGCTCTGTGTGGTGCTAACATGGATATACAGGATGCACACTTCTGTATGCAATCAAAATCTTAAAAATAAAACAATGAGTCTAATATCTTCTTTGTGGGAAAAACAAGAAAACAAATGTAAGGTGTTTTTAAACAGTGCCTGGGCAGACCCAAATGAGTGAGTTTCCTCTCTCCATCCTATTGTCTTAGAGCCTGCAAGGGTGGGGTTGTGACATTCTCTCCTCTGTCCCCTTGCAATTTCCAAGAACTGCATAAATGTTGGTTGATTTAAATTTAGTGGCCCAGCCTCTCAAGGCTGAGCTCAGTTTCCTCATCAGGTCAAAATAGCTGCTGATGATTTAAAGCCCTGTCCAAACACCTCTCCCCAAGATGAGTTTGCATTTTACAGTTCAGGAACATGAAATGAAAGGGGGGAAACTCTGAGGCAGAATGGTAGTCATCAATTAGTACCTTCTTGGCCCTGAAAAGACAAAAAACTGCAAGGCAGAAGGCAGGCACACAGCTACAACTTCTGGCCAAAGGCAAAGGTCATCGACTCCAAGCTTCTAAGGATGAGGCCCATCATAATGCCTACATTATGAATCTCTGAATTCTCTTTCTAGCCCCCAGCCCTAATAATAGGCAACATTTCTGGGGCTCGGCACTTTCTTAGAGCCACACAGAAGGAGGGCCCAGATGGTCATCCAGGGGATTTTCAGTCTGCTTTAGGAGCCACCACCATGAAGAAAGGCAACAGGAGCGGTTCCATTGTATCCATACTTTACATTGGGGTTCTATGTAAGGATTCATTTGAGGGAAAACATTTGAAAGACACTGCCATTTTGTTTAACCGACTTGCTTGACAAAAGCAAGAGACTGAGATCCAGACAGGGAAGGGACTTAGGAAAGTCACACAGCTAGCCCACCCCAGCTGGGCTTCTGTTGACAGGTCCCCAAAGCCTCCAAAGGTGGCACCAGAGTTGGGGAGGTCAATGGTTCCCTGAGGGACAACCTAGGACAAGGCTCCAGGGCTAGGATCACCCCAGAGGAAACCCTCAGCCTCCACTAGGCTTATGCTGTTGAACTCTTGAGGAACCTCACACCACCTCACCCAGTGCAAGTCAGTAAAACGGGGATGTGGCAAAGGGGTAGGGACAATTGTCTCCTTACACCTCCCCCCACCAGGAATCATCACAGTGAGGCTCAGAGGAGGCTGTCAGCAGAAGAGAGGGGACTTCAGCATTATAGAGCTCCTCACTGCATTGTAGGCACGCACACACACGCACACACACACACACACACACACTTCTCATGAGAATCCTGGAGCTCAGAGAAGAATCTTCACCATCCTGAGTTGACATGAGACAACTCCAATGGTGAAGGTGCAGTTCCACTGTGCAACCTAATTGTTCACCCCCACAGCAGACAACTGGGGCGTCTTTAGGAATGTGGTCAGGGTCAGACCCGGTCTCAAGCCTGCCTGCTGGAAACTTGCCCAAACCAGCACATATCTACCCACATCCACATGCTCCTGTCCCCACCATCCAGGCCTCTGTCAAAGCTGCTTAATTATCAGTGCGGTCACTTTAGGTGCTAAAAACACACTTTGGGAGGTGGGTATTTTGGGAAAGATCAAGACTCTGAAAGTATCTGTGAAGCAGCCAAGGCACCTCATTTCCAGGACTCTCCCAGGAATGTCTTCCACATCAGAACAGTGGCCCCCACTGCCCCCCGCTGGAACCTACAGTATAAGGAGTCAGGGGCTGTGCTCCCTCCATCTGCCCCCAGGGACCTTGCCACCCCTCTGAGGCAGCCGCCTATGGCCTCCACTCTTCAAGTGTGCCCCTAACCCACCACTACCTTCACAGCTCCAAAGCTTACCTCACAGCCGCATTTCTAAAAATTTTTCTTTGACAGGTGAGAATATTAATTTTCCACCTTGCAGAGTGGCAGAGAAGACTGGCCAGACCCACACCATGAGCCATTCTCAATGCTTGTCCCAGAGCTGGGGTCAGCTGTTGACAACACCCTCTGTCGGTTCCCTCCCACCCTGACCTGCTGCAGACTTAGTGGCTGCCCCACGCCCAGCCTAGCTCTGTCCTGTTAACTAGAGTCACTCGCCACACAGAGAAATGACTGTTCTGAGCAGCCTCCTCACATCACCTCCTTGCGCCAGTGGTGGGAAGCACGAGGTGAGAGGCAGCAGACCCTGAGAAGACCTGGCCCCTCTCTGGAAATTTGGGAGCACTTTACCCAGGAAATGAGCCCTAACTTGAGGGAAGTCTGTCTCCCACTTCCTCCTGAGGTCCCAGACCGGTACCTCTGCCCCCACAACCTCCGTCAGGTCCCAGAGCTAGGTTTCTGAGCGCGCCCCGGAGGCACGACAGGGAGTCTCAGCGTCCCAGAGTCGCCACACGCCCCGGGCCGCGACAGGATACACCCCTGAGGTGGCGTCTGGAATCGTGGCAACAGACCTGGAAAGACGAAAGAGCGCTCCGGAGCTGTCGGCCCCTGCCGACCCCAACCCCTGGACGCCGCTGCAGTTGGCTAGCGCGCCCCGACCCCCCCGTCGAGCCCACGCGCGGGCGCTACTCACGGCGGGAGGCGGCGCTGCGGCGGTCGCCGCGGGCACAGCGGGCAAGGTGCGCACCGGGGTCGCCGCGGAGTGTGTGGCGCTGCGCTCTCCTCCCTGCGCCCGGCGCCAGCCCGCCAGCGAAGCCGCGGAACCTCCGAAGGGGCGGAGCGGCCCGTCCAGTCCCAGGCGCCGGCAGCAGGCGAGGCCAGGACGGAGCTCCGGGCGCCCCCTACTGGGAGCCCCCTGGGACAGCCCCGGGTGGTGGGGAGGGCCCTGCCCCCCGCCCCGCCAGCACCTCGGGTTGTCCCAGGAGGCCTCGGGGCTTACTTACCTGCTCTGCCGCTCACCTGCTGTGTGTCCCTGGGCAAGTCGGCTAACCTCTCCTAGCCTTTCCTGGGAACTGGCTTAAATGAGCTGATATGCCAGAGCCTGGCATCGCTCGGGAAGTGGTGTATTCTTGGTACTGCTCCCTTCCTATTAAGACTTGGAAATGAATCTTTCCTCTCTTGCTTCTGTCAAAACTCTCTAGAGGGAAAAGTAATGAGAGTGAAAAAAAAAAAAAGAGGGGTGGGGGGAGAAAGTAACCAGAGTGGAGGCGATAGGGGGGAGCAGAAACAGAACTTAAGCCAAGGTCAGTAGTTTTATTTAAGACAAGAAGCAGCTAAGAGAAATGAAGGTTCTTTCCCAGAGATCCCATCTATAATTCACACACAGGGCTCCTCAAGACAGTCCTAGAAGAGTGTAGATTCAGTCATATCTTTAATTCAAAGTCCTATTCTACCATGCCTTGTGTGTGATCTTGGGATTGGCACATGAGCTTTTTCTTCATTTTGAAGAAACATCCCTTGTTATAGTGTCTAACAGAGCTATTGTGGAGCTGAATGAACGTGTGTAAAATGTGCCCAGAAGACCGGATGATGTGAGTGAGTGACCCTGTTCCGCACCCTCTTCCCCCTTAGTATTTCCTATGCTAGGCTACTGACCAATACAACTGACCCTACCCTTCCAACCTAAACCCACCCCAGGCCCATCTGATCAATACCCCAGCATCTGCAGGAAAATCCCAGAGTTTCCTGTTTATAAACTTTACAACATGCCAGGACACTGCAGGCTGAGTTTCCTCTCTCAAGGTCACACTATTTAGAGGAATTCCAAGACTAAAGGTGACTTTCAAAGTCAGTAGATGGAGGAGGACAGTCCATGGTGATGTTTTGTCAGCATAAAGAAGACCTTCATCCTCTGGTGAAGCATCTACTTCCATTTCCAATTGTCTATTGTTATGTAACAAATCACTCCAGGCTTGGTGGCAGGAAACAACAGTTCTGTTAGATTCACAAATTCTGAGAGTCAGGAATTCTGAGGGTCAGTCATACAAGATACAGCCTGTATGACTTATCTCCATTTTACAATGTTTGGAGCTTCAATTGAGAGTGACTTGAATGTCAGGGGTTGGGGATATTCCGAAGTTTTCTTCATTCACATGGTCTGTGACTAGGCTATGAATTCAAGATTGGGCTCAGTTGACATTGTCCAAGTACATAAAGCCCCTCCATTTCTTCTCTGAACTTCATGTGTAATACATATTATCAGCAGCAGGATGAGCTCCTTGTATGAGACAAGGGACTTGGATTTGACACTTGGAAAATTAGTCTGAGAACTTGTAGCGGGAAGGCTATTGTCGTTCATTCCACCCAGCATGATCAATTTTCAGGTGAGAAAACTGAGACTCAGAGAAGAGACTTGTCCAAGGTCACACAGCTAGTGAGAGGCAGAGCCAGGATTAGAACCAGGCCTCCTCCTAGTTCTTAGTTTGATGCTTTTTCAATGTACCTGCCAAGTGCAATTTCTTAGGGCGGTACCATCTGGAAATTCATTTTATGTTTTGAGATCAAGTGAGGTCATCAGACCCTCCCCTGAAAGCAGCAACAGTACTCTGAGCACTAGACAGGGCAGCAGTGGGCAGAGAGGGGCAAGCCCTGACCAGGGTGGCAACAATTATGCCTACTTCTGAATGAAGTCAGAAGGAGGTTCAGCTATGAAGAGCTAAGAATTATGCAACTCAGTTATGAATCCCATTGCTGATTGAGAGCCACTTAAATGCCTCTCCCTAGCATTTAAGACTCCAACCTGCACTCCCTAGCTATGTACACACATCCCATTCCCTCCTGTGCACACACATCAAGTACCTTTGCCAAGCTGGATTACTGGCTACTCCTGCCTCCATGCTTATGTTTAAGTCATTCCACCACCACCCTCTTTACCCCATCCTACAAAATTCTAGCCTCCTCAAAGGTCCTCTCCAGTACTATACCCTCCATGGAATCTTCCTTAATCTGCCCTCTAGATTTGCTTTCACTCTTGAATCTCACTATTCTTGATTTGTACTTCAATGATATTTTCCTTTCTCTATTTTTTTTATGATTTGTGTTCACTTCTCTTTTGTCTTAGGATAAGGAAAATGTTCCTGTTTGTATCCAGACAGTGCCTGCTATTCCAAATCATATCAAGCCTGTTCAATGGAATTACTAGACTTTTTAAATGCTCCTAGATAAGGGAACGTAACTGTCCAGTTTCACATTGCTCCCAAGGATCCCCAAGTGGCCAGCACTTAGTAGTCATATGTTGGATGGAGAAATGTATAATCATTTGTAATAGTTCCCATGTATTACATTTCTTCTAGCATATGCATCCCGTGCCAGACACTTTACTCCAAAACTGAGACGTGAGGAAGCTGACATGCCCTAGTTCAACCAACCTGCAAGTGACTGAGCTATGATGCAAATCTTCCCTGCCCATCTGCCTACAAAATTCCTTATTCTTTAAATTGCAAAGTTCTTTGTTCTGTTTTTCCTTCCTGCATGTATAGCTTCTTTACTAGAAACTATATACCCTCAAATGATAGGTTCTACTATTCTATGGTTGGGCTTCTATGGGTACATAATTCAAGTTTGTGTTTTCTCTTTCTAATCTTTCTTGTGTCTAGTTTATTTTTCCAGCCTACAGACCTAGAAGGGTACAGAAAGATTAGCTTCCTCCCCAACAATAAGAACCTCTTTGTTCATTTCACGGAGACCTAGGACATGAAAACATTGTCGAGCAACCCACCAATCTGCAAAGACATAAGAACACTTGCTTTGTGCAGATATTCTAAGGGACTGTGAGATAGGTGAGTACTGGGAGTGAGAAGCTTCCACAGGTTGAGAAGATAGGGAAAGATGTAGCTGTGAGAGGGAGCAAAGGGCAATAAGAGAGGTGATATTCTAGAACACACTTGGGTGTCTGGCAAGTATACAGAACCTGACAACCTGCTGACAAAGAGTTGGGCAGGGAGTAAGATGCTCATGTGTGTAAGGGTCTCCCTGGTGGCATAGGGGGTTAAGTCTCAGCACTATGATGCTATCAGCAGCCACTACAGAACAAGTGTGATCCCCATAAGGGAGCTGACCCACATGGCATAAGAGACCTCTCTGGTCTCACCTGTTGTTTCCCTCAGCAGTGTATTTCAGTCAATCTGCCTGTTCTGCTCCCCTCTCTGTCTCTGATGAATCCTCGCTGCCACCACCCCCCACTCCCCTACCCCCGCACATCTGGCCCATACCCCAGCTCTTGTATGCATAATTAAGTAAAAAATATTTTTAAAAAGATGCTCATGTGGGCCCTCCCTGGTGGCGGAGCGAGTTAAAGCACTGCACTAAGAAACTTAAGCCACTTCCGCATGGTTCAATTCCCGCCTGCCCCGAGGAGATCCACATGGCGCTGCAGACCTCTCCTGACTCACCGGCTGCTCCCCTCAGCAGTGTACTTCGTCGATCTGCCTGTTCTGCTCCCCACTCTGTCCCTAGTGAATCCTCTCACCCTCCGCATCTCTGGCCTGTACCCCAGTTCTGTGTGAATAAATAAATAAATCTTTGAAAAAAAAAAAAAAGATGCTCATGTGTATCAGCTGAGGCACAGAGGTCACACAGAGGAGTAAAAGGCAGGCACTCTGGTGCCAGATGCTTGAGTGTGCCTCTTAACTCACAACTTACTTATCTTGATCTCTCTGTGCCTCATTTATACCCTTGTCAAATGGAGTCAAAGATAGCATTTATCTTACAGGTGGTTGTGAGTATCATGGGTATGTGTGAACTTAGATCAGCACTGGGCACATGGCAAACTGCTCAATGAATAGTAGCTATTTGTATTCTTTCTGAAACATCTAGTATGGGCTCCCCTAGAAATGGCTCCTACTCTTCTTTACACCCCATGCCCTAGAAATGGCTCCTACCCATCTTTACACCCCATGCCTTTCCTGCTTGACCCCAAGCAGGTTCTTAGCAAGTGTTAAATGAAAGCTAGAATGCAAACTTCTTGCTAATGGGTCCCGTGCTCAGACTCCTTTCTCAGGCTATTAGGACAGGAAAGGGCATGGGAGCTTCCAGCCTCCTCCCCAGCTGGCTTGCCCCCTTGGTGGAAGACAGCCAGGTCTCCTCCTCCCGAAGACAGCGTGGCTTCTCAGCTCTACCCAGCCCTGCCCACGCTGCCTTGGGCCTGCTGGTCTCCTATGCTGGCTGGGAAGGATTACGGGTGTGGAGCTGGCTTGGCAGCCATTCTTCCCTCAGAAAGTCTCAATGGCTCCTGCACCTACGGGCAATTGCTTCAATCTCTAGCCATGCAGGACTCAGCAAGGCCTTGACCCCACCATAGGGAAGGAGAAGAGAAGGGAGAACACCAAAAGAGGCGGGGCCTGGGAGACCTTGCCTTCCCCTAGAAGTCATGGAGGATGGGGATTTCCTGGGTATGTGAGCACACTCATTCACTCTGAAAATCATTTAAGGCATGTTTTGAGGCTAAGTGCTACTGGGGGTAAGCTATATCAGATCTGCTCCAGCAGGCATCACAAAGAGCCACCAGCGAGAGACTTGATTTAAGCTGGAGAGCAGGTGTAGGTGTGGTGAAGGTCATCAGGCACTTTAAGTGTGCAAAAGGCTGAGGAAATGAAGCCAGTTGCCAAAAAAAATCACCTGCCATTACTCCCACCTAGGTCAGTACAGGGTCAAACTGCAGGATCATGATCCAGGGATGTCACTACCTTCTTTTTGACACAGAGGTTGGTGACATGAGTGCTGAATGACTTACC